CCCGCCGCTGCGGGGCCGCCGGGCGGGGGACACGGACACCGCGCAGGTGCGGCCAGGTGTGCCACGGGGGGTGACGGGCACCTCGGAGCTGGCTCTGATTTATGACAAGGTCAGGCAGGGAGAGAGACAGAGAACAGACGGACGGACAGGCAGACGGGAGTGCTGACATCCACAGAGAAAGGAGCCGGGGGGGAGAAAGAGACATGAGAGGTAAGCACAGGGTGGACACGGGGACAGGAGGTGAGAGGGAACAGGACAAAGACGACGGAGGAAGACGGACGGACAGTCAGGACAGAGAGACCAAGAGACATGAGGGACAAGAGTGTCCGAGAGCAGAGAGGAACAGAGACACACAGACAGACAGACACAGAGACGAGAGACAGACAGAGACCGAGGCTGCACCGCCACCCTCACAGCCGTGAGCAGAGCGGGGACCCTGAGGCCAGCGGACGGGTGTCCTGCAGGCGCCCCAGGGTGCTGGCCTGGCCTGAACCGCTCACGCACTGCCTGCTGCCCACCAGGACCCCCGCCATGATCGGCTGCTCCTTCGTGGTGGACCGGGAGTATTTTGGGGACATCGGCCTCCTGGACCCGGGCATGGAGGTGTACGGCGGCGAGAACATCGAGCTGGGCATGAGGGTAAGTGGCCCCTTGCGGAGCCGTGTCCTGGGCCGCCCGGGGCTCCAGGGGCTGAGCGGCGCTGCCGTGGGGCGAGCTCTGGGGGGTGTGCAGTTCTTGTGTTTTTTGGTGTGTTCTGTTTCTGGGGTTCTATTTGTTTTTGTTTTGATTTTTGCCTGCGGGCCTTTGTTCACAGGAAATATTATTTAAGGCAAGTTTTTAAAAATTTATATGCAGTGTATTGAAGTGGCACATTTCAAACCTATTTGTTTAAGCTTTGAGGTTAAACCTAGAGATCTTGTTATTATGGTTATAAATCTAATAGAATAGCACTTCCACCGCCCGCTTTTCCTTGGTTAATGTTCGATTAACTCGGTTGCACAGATTAAATGCCATTAAACAATCAGTTCCATTTCTGCCTGTAGTCAAATTCCCTTGAACCTCTTAAAATGACGCTTATAAATGTATTTTCTTTTCCCTTTAAGCATTTTCATTGCCTGATATCTTAGCCAAAATTCCCCCAAGTGCATAAAAAAATCCTTGTGTACCTGACAAATTAAACTTATGCCCAATCTCAGGGCCTGGGAAGCATTTCAGGGCTGTTTGCGACTGTATTTAATTCTCTAGCATGGTCCAATTTTAAATCACAAATTTAGAATCAACCCTCCAGTATACACATTAGAAGTGGAGTCAGGAGGTGAATCGGCAGATTCTCCTGAAGGCTGACTCCTCTGTCCAGCATCAGCCCAGACCCCACTTCGCAAAGTGGAGACCGAGGCCCCATGGTCACAGCACCTGGTCTTTTGCAAGATGCCCCACCCCCCAGACCCTCAGAGAAGTCTGCTGACTGAGGTGATGCAAATGCAGGTGCAGATGTAGGAGCAGGTGCAGGTGCAGGTGCAAGTGCAGGTGCAGGTGCAGAGAGGAATTAGGTTTAGGAATGGGCACGGATGTGGATATGTCAGGAAAGCTGACATCAGTGCACCGGCCCCTGGGGGAGCCTGGCATTCTCTCACATTCAAAAGGCCTGTCTGACCTTGAGCCCCAGCCAAGGGGACCAGCCAGCCCTGTCCTGAGGGGCAGTGGGTAGAGACTGGCCGTGGGCACCTCAGGGCTGGGTGCTCCCAGGGAGCTTGGAAGTGAGGTCCATGCATTTCCCCAGCCCAGGAGCCACTCCCATCGGCCTCTCCGATGCCTCTGACTGCCAGGCCCCCTCTTGCACCCCAGCTGGTGTCCCCAAGGATGCAGCCCGGCCTCCCCTCCCTTCTGTGTGCTCTTCCCGCTGCCTTCCCAGGACCCTACTACCAAGCACACAGGCCTCAGAGCCACTGCTCCCTCTGATGCGTCCTTAACACAGGCGCCCACACAGCCCTTCTGATCGATGCAGCCCAATTAGAGGAGTAATTCTGTGGTCTCACGGCCAGTGTCACTACTCTGATTGTAGAAATGCCAACTGCTCGTCTCCTAATGAGGAAAATCCTAGAGCCAATTAGGGGGAAATGAATCCATCGTGCCCGTCAGGTTAATAAAGGTCAAGATGAAACCAAGTGATGAGCGTCCTGGTCAGGAGAGCCGGCTGTGGCTCGTAGATGGGAAACCCTTCGCTTCTCTGTTTCAAAACTTTCAGCCTTGCTGCTCCCCCAGGGGTTGCAGGAAAACGGTCCCATCACTGAGGGCAATCTCTGCCCTTCCAACCGGGCCCTTTGAGGGGCCACATTCGTGTTAGATCACCTGGGGCGGGGGCTCCTCCCCCCTCCCGAGAGGATTCACATGTGCGCCTGTCTCTCAAAAGCAAAGAATGGTATCGTTGCCACGGAGGGAGCCAGGGAGGAGTGCCCACACTGCCCCACCGTCCCCACTTGGGGAGAGGGGTGGATGGGTGTCCCCAGGCAGGTCCTAGACCCTTCTCCGTGTGCAGCAGGGCAGCGGGGAGGGTGGGAGTGGACTGAAGTCCCCTTCTAGTCTTGCTTTCAGGAAGGGCTTGTTCTAGTTGCAAATGGTCAGTCTACCTGAGCAGGTGAATCTCGCCTCCAGACGGGAGCAGCAGATGCCACTAGAGGGAGGGAAGTGAGTCTGTCCACTTAAATGTCTTCCTGAAGACGCACTGACACTTGCACTTGGAGCTGCCCCAGCGCCGAGTGGGCGGGGCAGGGACATGCGGAGGGGAGAAGAATGACCAGCTGGGGTGGGTGGGTCTCCCCTGGGGAAACGTCCCTCAGTGGTTTGTGTCCTGTAACGGGCAAGAGACGTGAAATTTGGTAGCAAATGCCTTGGCCTGGCTTTGCTGCACCGAACCCAAGGCTTTTCCTTGGCCGTGGTCACTTGGACAAGCCCGCAGGCACCAGGCCCCCAGGTGCCCGGGGCAGGTGCGTCCCCCTGGGGCCTGTGAGCCTGGGCGGTGCAGGGAAGGCTGGG